TGATTGATTTGTAAACACCGAATGAAATTTTGTCCGGCCTTGAAGCTAAACATTATCCAACAGTATCAAATTCTCGATTAAATTCTTAACTGTAGTTAATACCTACTTAATTAAAAGTTAATTAAAGAAGTGCATTAGAGAAGTGACTAAACTGCAAATAGGAAATCACAGATAAATGTTTAAACTAAAAGCAATAAATCATTTAAAAAAATTATACTAGAAGAGATAGTATCTAATGAACCTTGTGGGTTTTTTTAATAATATACAATAAAATTGCTGGTTTATACGAACTCCCCATTTAGTCATAGTTTTACACTTTGTAAAAAACAATAATAGAGAGTTGGGAATAAACCACAATTTTAATTGAAAATGCGTTATATTTGACATCTTGAATTCCACATTGTAAATCGTTCTTAAAATATTATTTGTTTTTAATACCAAATATCTAATCTAAATTGCAGGGAACATAAATCCCATACCTGTCTCTAAATGTGGTTCAGAAACTATTTTCTTGTGGCATTTCTATAATGTGGCATTGTAAATAGAATACATAGAATATATAGAAATGTCTTTTTGGTTTCATAACTATAATAAAAGGTTGAATTATATTAATTTCTTTCCATTGGGAAAACAACAGTTGCTTTTTTCGCAACATCAGGAAAGCCAAATTCATGGTTAGTAGGTCTTCAAATTTAACTGACAGGGAGATAATGGCAGCGACTTAATAAATCGAGAGATTCGACAGATTTAGCTCGTCCGAAACTATCTCTAACTCACAATGGGACCACGGCAAAGAAACTAAAAAAATAACGGCGTTATCTAACTGCCCCACGAACTTCCTGGGCCCATTAATACGACGTACCTTCTGCCCCATCGCCGAGAAAGTTGGGGTTTAAGTCTTAATGACCGGAAATTCCAAATTTGATTACAGTTGAAAGTAAGTATATAAATATTTTCAGTTACTCACTTCAGTTGCAAGTGTTTAACTTTTAAATGGCGAATCCAACGACTATGTTTAGTCAAAGGAGAGAACTTTTATTATTAATTAATGAATATAAATATTCAAAGGCCCATGTCTCCAAAGATTGCGATACATCAAAAAAGGGTGCCAACAAAAAGAGTACACAAAGAAAGGTAATGTAAATTACGTTAGTCTTGAAAAAGCATCGGTGGAGCATAATAATGCTCCAGATATTCATGTTAATTAATAATTAATGAATATAATGGCGGTGCACCATAAAAGGGTATCAACAAAAAGTGTACACAAAGGAAGGTGATGAAAATTACGTTATTTGCACCGGTGGACCATAATCACGGTCCACCTTTACGAAGGTGAGATCCTTACTGTGCTGATTTTGCAGACCAAAATGCAAATAGTGCAGTGCTAGTATATACTGAGCCGAGGTCTGGTCACTACCGCAAACTACTGAAAATATTATCGAAGCTTCAAAATCTGGATCTATGGGAAGATATTGATAAGATATCTTATATGATCCATCTCAGCAACGTCGAAATTCTACAGCGCTTGAGAGAAGAAAAAGTAATGTACAATTTGGAAAAATATCGTAAACTTGAGTAGGGTAGATCGGGGCTAGTTGTGACAGGGGCATGTTGTGACAAATAGTTTTATAGACTAACCATAGGTAGCAGCGTCGCCCGGTTACCCAGAATTCCACGTCCGCATGTCCTCAGTCTGTTTGTGTAGTTTGGTTGTGATGCTATGCGTTTCTGCCGCTTTATAAATTATATGTCATTTCGTTGTAACGAAGTAAAATTTTGCTGTTGTCTTTGAATTGTTATTTCACTTTCAAACCACAAGGTAAGAAACTTATTCTAGTTGTAGTAGATAGTTTGTTTATTTCTCTCTAGTAAGACACAGTTTGGTTTCTATACGACGTGTCAAGGTCTGTGCAAGTGGCTTTATGTAAAATGGCGTACGGTGGGGCTAGTTGTGACGAAAGGCTTGGGGCAGATTGTGACAGTGTCACAACATGCCCCTACTAATTTTAATGCATGTTTATGGGTTTGTTACAGATAATGGTGAGAAATTATAAAAGGAAAACGGAACGTGGTCGGAGTAATATAAACAGTTACGAGTCGGCTTCGTTAGATGTTAAGTCTGGATCGTGTAGTTTAAGGCAAGCAGCTGAAAAATATGGCGTTAACCGGATGTCCTTACTTAGATATATAAAAAAACAACAAACCAATCCAGATGGAGTGGTAGAAATGGGTTACAAAAGACCTCGAATGATATTTTCACAACAACAAGAAGAAGAGCTCTGTGAATATGCTGTTCAGGCAGCGAAAATATTTTATGGTATTAGCCCAAAAGAAATGAAAAGTTTAGCTTTTGAATTTGCTATAGCGAACAAAGTTCTTGTGCCTGAGAATTGGGTAGCAACAAAACACGCCAGTAATGATTGGTTTACAAAGTTCATGCAACGTAACAATAATGTGTCTATTCGTGTTCCTGAGGCTACCAGCTTAAGTCGGAGTACAAGTTTCAACAAGCACAATGTCGGACTCTTTTTTGATAACCTCGAATTAGTATTAAGTAAAAACCATTTTACAGCTAATGATATTTGGAATATAGACGAGACAGGGACTGGGACTGTCCAAAAACCAGTAAAAATCATAGCGAAGAAAGGCGAGAAAAGAGTTGGTGGTGTCACTTCAGCTGAGAGGGGGACCAATGTTACTATGGTTCTTGCTATTAACGCAGAGGGTAACTCAGTTCCTCCTATGTTCGTTTTTCCACGTAAGTTTTACAAGGAGCATTTTGTACGTGATGGGCCAGTAGGTTGTTGTGGTACTGCTAACCCAAGTGGCTGGATAACAGGCCCGGACTTTTTGTTTTTTATGAAGCATTTTGTAAAAAAAGTAAGGTGCTCAAAGAAATCACCGGTTTTAGTTCTGTTAGACAACCACAGTGCTCACCTATATATCGAAGTCCTTGACTATTGTACAGAGCACGGTATTACTCTCTTATCGTTCCCTCCCATACAACAAATAGACTTCAACCACTGGATGTTTCCGTTTTTGGTCCATTTAAGAAGTTTTTAAACGACGCCATGTGTGGATGGATGAAATCTCATCCTGGAAACACAGTCTCAATTTATGACATCCCAAGTATAGTGAAAACAGCATTACCTAAAGCTGTAACACCAACAAATGTTCAGGCAGGATTTCGTTCTACAGGAATATGGGAATTCAATAGAAACATTTTTAATGAAGAAGACTTTCTGTGTTCTTCGGTGACCGACCGACCTTTGAATAGGCCTATTGACATCGTAGATGGTAATGAGGAAGCCAGTGCTGGGCAGCTTAAAGAGTTTCAGCATCTCGATGAACCTGAACCGTCGTCATATTATGCTAACCAGCCAGGACCCTCCCATACCTATCAACCAGGACCATATCAACAAGGATCATCGCAGGCCAACCTACCAGGATCATTCCATGCCGAAGTTCTGCCTGTCAGCCCTATGGATATAAGACCTCTGCCAAAAGCTGGTCCTCGAAAAAATAAAAAACGCAAGAGCTTAACAACTGCAATTTTGACTAGCACACCTGTCAAGGAGACAATTCGCAGTGAAGAGTTAAAGAGGAAGGAAACAATAAAGTGCAAAGAGGATAAAATAAAGAAAAAATTATTTGACTCAAAACAACTGTTGCCTAAGAAAAAAGCAGCGCCAAAGAAAGAGACCGCAACAAGAAAAAGAGAAGACAGCTCAGAAGAAGAGGAAGAAGATTACTTTTGCTTAGTTTGTATGGGACCATATAAAAAGTCTAGGTTAGGAGAAGACTGGGTGCAATGTATGGAATGCAAGAGGTGGGCTCATGTAAAGTGCACAAAAGATGATCTTTATTATGTTTGTATAAACTGCCACTCTTCAGAACTACAAGTAGAATGAGCACAAATTGACGATAGCGATTAAGTTTTTTATTTTACTTTAAATTCACTAGATGTTTTTCTACACATTTGTTTCTTACATAAACATTTATCAAACATTTATGTATCTATACTTAACTATAAAATAAATTTATTATGGAAACTTTGTTATTATTCTCCAACTAAAGTTTATTATATTTAAAAATATTTACTGTCACAACCTGCCCCAAGTTCGTCACAACTTACCCCATATTGGGGCAAATTGTGACAATATGTGCATTTTGTAAAACTATTTACATACTGTAAGGTATTGCTTAAAAATTGCTGATGTTCCCAAATAATGATTCCCAATTAAAAATAGTACCTCATTAAAGTAATCTAACAGCCCTAAAAATTACGAAAAAAATGTTAAAAATTATTTTGTCCAAAGTGGCACAACTAGCCCCAGTCTACCCTACCTCGGCCACATAATGTGTAACAAAGAAAAATATCGCGGTGGCTGAAAAACTTCCGGCAATGCTTTGGAGTGACCTCCGCTGAACTTTTCGAAGAAACCACAAAAACCACCAAAACAGTTGTGGTTACCAGCACTGAAGAAGAAATGTTGGAACTTGGAAGACGTCAAAACTCGTGGCTGAAAGACCTGAGGAGACGGTTTGACTGCTTATCCACAAAAATCTTTCGTGCAGCAGTTTCCAAAGCTACAATTGTCATTTGGATCACCAACCTTTGAAAGGAGACTCCGCAATAAGAAGAAGAAGAACTCGCTAGATAAGCAAAAAATGATAATGGCGTAGAAAACAATTCAGAAACCACAAGAATAATTAAAAAAATTAATTTATTAAAACGATAAATTGATTATAAAAAAGAATTGGAAACTTGCATTTTCTAAAATTTTGGAAACAAAATGGTGAACAATTTTGAGCTACGATTTATTAGTAAGTAAAAGGTACGTATAGAGATCATAAATAAATATAACAAAACATACATAACAACAACAAATAAACAGATAATAAAATAAATGTACGTATACAAATAATAAATAAAATTTTAATTAATTAACAGGACGAAATATTATAGGTACCTGATAGTAGTAAATAATGAAACTTACCAATCCAGGATGTTTCGTCGGGACTCAAATCTTTGTACTTTTCAGAGTCTTTAAGCTGAGGTAGTAAAATTGCACTATACCCTTGGCAGATTCCTATTGATATCGAGGTCGAATGTGCACAAATTGCAGCCAGAGCCTGAAATTGAACAAAATCATAAGATTAACTACTTTTCTATTTAAAGTAATAATTAAAATAATTAATTTAAATTATATCACATGACAGCTAAAACAGATACTGAATGAATGATGATTTTTGACAATATGGTACCCAACTATAGGCTTAAAGTGTCTTTGCTAGTGGACATTTTCCCACAATAAATTAATAAATTACGAAACTACTACTTACATGCCGGTACAAGAATTATTAATTAGTGATTTGAGTAGTATTTTGGTTATTTACTAATTTATTTCAATTCAATAGATTATCTTGTACCAATTTGTAGGTTATTACTTTGTCTGCTTCATCAATTTTTATTCATGTTAATAATCACAGACATATAATATTGGCATAATTGCTGTAATTGTTATCTTTGTAAGACAGCACCCTAATGTGAGTTTATGTAATTTCAGCATTCAATTTACCTCGGTAGACCTGAAGATGCATAGCAAATTGTAGTATGCGAAACCGGTTGTTTTGGTATAAAAATTAAATTTATTGTGAGTAAGTCATATTTTATTTATTTTTACCTATAATATATTATATTATATTATATTATATTATATTATATTATATTATATTATATTATATTATATTATATTATATTATATTATATTATATTATATTATATTATATTATATTATATTATATTATATTATATTATATTATATTATATTATATTATATTATATTATATTATATTATATTATATTATATTATATTATATTATATTATATTAAATATTTGAAATGGACTCACAGAGGTGTTAGAACAAACTAAGTTTTATTTTTTGTATTATAAGGTTTTGAACTTACGGGGTATAATCTAAGTTTATTTCATATTATATTAGTAACACAAACAAAACGAGATATAGCCGGCCAAAAATATTTTTAGAGTCAGAGTGTAGATTAGCTACAAAGGAGTAAACTGAATATAAGCTATGTGCCATTTATATTGCTTTTCCTAGAACTTATTATTTAAAATTAAATTTTACTTACAGTATAGTAATTGTCATTACAATGCTTCGCAAATTTTAGAATCGTCATTGACATTTAAAATAGAAATACTGAGTTCAATAATATTTTGGTTCAAGTTTACAACACACAATCTTTCCAAGTTTTACGTCATTGAGATTTATTTTTATTTTAGAATATCTTCAATAGGAATGTGATAAAATCCATTAAGTGTATTAGTCGGTCTTAATAATACGTGTAATGTTTTTAAATATTATAGATTCGGTTGTTAAATAAAATTGCAGGAATCAATATAGGGAATATACAGGGGAAACAAATATTTAATCCTAAAAAATATTTACTGAGAAAAAAAATATATATCTCTTTACAGATCTTAAAGTTTGTTTACCTGCCATACCAAACTTTATTTCTTATCATGCTATTGTTTTAATAAATATTACAAAGATACTAAATTTATCAATGTGTATTCTTCATTTGAAGAACAATGTAAATCGAATATACTTATATAAAATAGAAAAGGGTGACGAGTGAGTTTGTAGTAAAGATCATTTCGTAAACATAGGAACTGACATTTAAAAAGACATGAGCGTAGCTTGGGAATCTTGGGAAACTTAGTCATCCCCAGCAGCTGTCGATTTATCCAGAATTCGATCGAACGTTGTCATAGTGGTGTTACGGAGCAAGCCAGACTTAAGGTTTTTTTGTCGGGTCAAACGAAATTTCAGTATCATATATTACATGCTTTATTCAGTACTAATAACATACCTACAAGGCAACTTTAGATAGGGTACGAAACAGAGCTCGATTCCTCAATCCACTTGCAGATAGATTTGAAATGAGAAACTTAAAGACCCTGATAAGTACTCACAAAACCTACATATGACCCATTATAGAGTATAAATACAACGTATGTAGAATCTTACGTAGAACAAATTACAAACCCTGGCGAATACGTTTCCGTGAAATCTATAACATTTCAAAATAGCAACTTTACCTTTAAAGACATAAACGGTCCACACTTCAACACACAAAAGGCCCTTAAAGTTTTCTTACGATCACCCACACTCCGAACAACAAAAAACTCTCACAGATTAGCGTGTTGACATCCTTGAAGCTACACTGCTAGGTTTTCGCACCATTATCTGAACAAATACTCATTCTTATCCCGAACAGGGTCTTTTGCGGTTTCCAAATCTTATTGCACAATGATACCTATTCGTTCACACGAGCAAATAGCCGCAACTATTTTCTTAACTGGTTCGGCGACAATAATTGAGACTGTTCATAAAACTTCGACGAGGCCTGGCTGTTAAGACAAACGGTTAAGTACCGAATTTTAGTGCAATACACTAGTTCTGAAGTTTGCCAGAGATGTACAAACAACTGACGGAACAATAGCAACTCTAAAATGGTAGTCGTTGTCACAGTATTTCGCTGCAGTTGCTTCTGGATGACAGAGCTGTCTCTCGAAAGCTACTGAGGCCTGATCGTTGACACAATCAGTCAGTAACAAAATTTTAATGCAATACACTAGTTTTTAAGTTGGCTGAAAACGTAAAAATTTCTGTAAGAACAATAGTAACTAGAGCCACAGTTTACGCCACTTTCAGACCTGCAGACACTCAGACACTTCAGACCTCAATGGCATTTTTGGCAACTGGTAAATTTGATTTAATCAATTAAAAAATTACCAGAAGAAGTAATCTTAAAACATGGAGGAGAAGCGTTGTACAGTTCTATATACAAGCTAATTCAAGACATTTGGCGAGAAGAAACAATGCCAGATGAATGGAAAGAAGTAGTTTTTTACAAATACACAAAAAAGGCAACAAAAAGCAATCTATTAACTACAGGGGAATAACACTCCTAAATACCACCTACAAAATCTTTGCAAATATCCTGTTAGAAAGAACTAAAACATACACAGAAGAAATCTTTGGAGATTATCAAAGCGGATTTAGATCGATTCGCTCTACTTTTGACCAAATATTCACAATAAAATAGATAATGGAAAAATGCTGGGAAATTGATCGTGAGCTTCAGCAGATGTTCATCGATTTTAAACAAGCATTTGATAGAATATGCAGGGCCAGACTGTGGAGAGCGATGCAGAACTTGGCTATTCAAAAAACTAGTCAGGTTGATAAGGATGTGTATGGAACGGTTACGATGTAAGGTGAGAGTTGGACAAAAATACTCGAAGACATTTGAAATAAACAATAGACTAAAACAGGGAGATGCACTTTAACCACAACTCTTTAACTTAGCTCTGGAGCACATAATCAGAAGTGCAAGAATCGAAAAACCCAATACAGTATTTCATCGAGAAGGACCAAAATTAATACGAGCATTTGCAGACGATATCGATCTAATAGGAAACATACGATTAAGGATGAAGGAGACTTTCGTGAGTTTCGAGAAGGAAGCAGAGAATATGGGGGCCAAATCAACGAAAACAAGACGAAATATATGCATATGAGCCGCAATAACCAAAGCAGAGACAGAATCGGTCAGAGCATCACCATCGATGACTTTAACTTTGCGCGCGTTAGAGAATTCAAGTATCTTGGAACAAAAATAACTGAAGACAATAACGGATCACAAGAAATAAACAATAGGATTCAGGCCAGCCAAACATAAAATCGAAACAACTCACACGACGTACGAAGATACAGGTCTATAAAACAATCATACGACCCGTTGTGATATATGGAAGCGAGATGTGGACGATAACATAGGCAAACGAATAGAGACTATGTGTTTGGAAAAAGAAAAATCCTAAGGAAGATCTTTGGTCCTGTGCTGGATGAAGCATCAGGACAATATAGGATAAAAACTAACAATGAGCTCGAATAAATTTACCCAGACCAACATCATAAAATAAATAAAGTCCAGAAGACTCCAATGGGCAAGACACTTCCGAAGACATTCTGACGAACGAACAGTAAGACTGGTGTGGGACGAAGTCCCAACTGGAAGGAGACCACGCGGACGCCCTCGTCCCCTGTGGCGAGATAATATAGCAGGAGACCTAAGCACTATTGGCGTGGAGAATTGGATGGAGATTGCTCAAGACAGAAAACAGTGGAGGCATGTTGTCGAGTCGGCTAAAACCCATGAAGGGTTGTAACGCCACAGAGTAAGTAAGTAAGTAATTAAAAAACTGCTAAGGATTTCGTAAAAAAATAAAGATACTTTCTTGTTCAGCAAACAAATGATCTTCAGACACAAGGAAGAATAATAAACAAATGCGTGAAAGCTAAGAAAATTACATTAAAAGATCTTTAATCTATATAAATTACTAAAATCTGTGGGTTCAAAAGGGCAAGATCATCTATGTTCTATAAAAAAACGAAGGCAATTAATTAAGCTATCCTAAACTACACAACACATTTATGAACACTACGTGCTTTCTACAGACTTACACAATACACATACAAGATCGAAAATAGAAGAGAATGTACCGGAAAGTCATCTAAATTCCCTGAGAATATACGAAACTGGAGCCACAAATATCATTAGAGTTTTTATCGGTATACAAGATAAAATGGGCTAATGTAGTTGCGAACTTTCTATTGGGCACAATAATTGAACCACCAGTTAGAAGAAGGGAATAAACGCCAAAATATGGCGAAACGACTTTTTAACAAAAATATACCTTTTAAGGCAAGACCCATCTGTCCGCGCTAAGTAGGGAATAAACACCGTATAAGTTACGAGATATTCCAACACTAAATGTGCGACAGTTTTAAGAAGGGAATAAATAAAGGGAATTATTTCTTACGGTTTAAGGTCGATTCTCACTATACGTTCCATTTACTTTCCATACCCGTTCAATATACTTCCCATTATTTTAACCACCATTCTCATTAGACGTCGCGTTTACTTTTCGTCTACGTTCAGTGTGGTAACATTTAATTCCAAGTTTTTGACAGGAATACGCGTATTTTTCCTGCTTGATAAAATGTGGTCTGAAGAAAATTTAATAATAACAACTACTATATAG